AATCGATAAATTTTGATTGTTAAAAATATGAAAAAATATTTTTGTATTGCTTCGCAATCATCATTTCGTTATGGTATAAAACATTCTATGATGAAAATTGTGAATAATAAATGGATGCTATTATAATAAATATGAAAACCTCAAACGTGACAACATAAAAATAATATGACAAGTCAATATAACTACAAAAATGAAATTATTTCCATTACATGTCACATTTTAACGTGTTTCATTTATTTTTGGAAAAATATGTGAAAAATAACATGATCGAATTTATCAGTAAACAACATATCACTAATTTGGAATGTATGAATATATGCATGTATACATATTGAATTCCATTGATATACAATCTGAAACTATAAGTTCATTCACTGTACAGTGAAAGTTTTGCAGAAAACTGAATATTTTAATTTCTGATTAATGAATAGTCATTTCTTTTCCTTTTCTCGTAGTTAAATGTAAACGGAAGTACCAGTTCGTCTGTCATCCACAGTATGTATTACAGATATTAATAAAGTCAAATATTGCACTATAAACGGCAATATAAGATAGTATAATGTAATGCGAGATTACTCAAATTGATTATATTTGTTGAGAGTTACTCAGTATGGCTAATAGCATGCAGCTTAATGCTCTTAGTATGAAAATGATAAATCATATTCACAGATTTTCTTATGATCGATCTTCCTTATTGGTAACATGCTGTAGTATAGAGATATTCAAGTAAATAATGTGTCAGGATGAAAAAGGCAATGTCATCTTATTTGGTAATTATTTTCTAAAACAAAAATTAGAATAGAAAATACAATGAAGTAATTAATGAAATTAAACTAAATTTCATATTCGAAATGAAGTAATTTCTTTAAAAACATTCTCTGGAAAATTGACAATTCTAAATAATTATTAAAAAAAGTCGATAACGCTAGCGTATCCTATTTTATTAAAACCTTTTATAAATATTTTCTATATATTAATTTTATGATGTTCTGCACAAATGAAAATGTTATAAAAATTTTCCATGTAATTTTACGTATTAAAAGAACTTGTAAAACAATAATTAATTTCAATTAAATCGAGAAGATAATAGGTTTTAATTATATAAGATACTTCTAAAGCACTAATCATATTGTATCATTACGAGCTATTTTCAAAAATAATTTATCTTGATTTAATAAAATTGTTTTCAATTAATAATGAAAGATAAGAAAAATACTACGAATAAGAAACAAGTAAATAATTGCAAAATTTGATGTTGTCATGATGGAAATGGATGATCCTGTAGTAGTTTCCGATGTTGTATCAGAGTTAGTTGTGGGAGGTTCTGTCATCATTTTCGACGTTGTATCAGAGCTAGTTGTGGGCCTGATGGAAGTGGGAGGTCCTGCTGTAGTTTTCGATGTTGTAACAGAGCTAGATGTGGATGATCGTGTGGTAGTTGTCGATGCTGTATTAGAGCTAGTTGTGGTTCTGATGGAAGTGGTCGATCCTGTCGCAGTTTTCGACGTTGTATCAGAGCTAGATGTGGATATAATGGAACTTGGCGTTGGTTCTGTAATAATAGGTGGTGATGTAGTATTTACCACTGGACGAATAAAAAATAATGAATCAAGTTGAATATCTTCTTGTAAAAGATCAATTAAATCATATACAGTTTCAGGTTTATTACAATCATTCTTAGAACAGTAAATCTCTACTTCGTCAATATTTAATATATCATCATCAATACTATAAGTAGCTGTAATTATAATACTTGATTCTGATGCAAAGTCTTCACATTCAGCTTGAAATGCATATTCACAATTATTATATTCAGGATCATCAATATATTGATTAATAAAACAGCGTCCACTAGCTGAACACGGGACAGATGTACAATTATCAAAATCAAGACTTGAATTAGTGCAAAGTGTACATTGATGACAACTACTAAGTGGTTCAGAGCTTTGAAGATATCCTGCTATTATTGATGGTTCAGCATTAAATTGAAAACTTGTTGTTAATTTGTCAACAATACGACCATCATTACATAATGGCCAATCACATACATATGTAATCACACTAACAGATGGTGGATGCCATGATAAATTTCTATAAAGTATTATTTCTTCTTCTGCATGAATATAATGTCTATAAGGTACATATTGCCTTTGTACATGACCAAGACTAATAAATTCCTTATTAGGAAAATTTTTAAAATCACGTACTATTTCACAAAAACTTCCATTTTTATATTCAATTGTACATTGTAATATTTTACAATTATTATCACCTATTTCATGTTCACAATGACATACATAACAAGCAAGTAGATCATTATTTGGTGTTGAGGGTGTTGTACTACTAAGATTTGGACGAAAATAAACTTGATCATTAATTTGTATTGAATAAGAAATATTTTGTTTTATTATTTGTGCATTACTTGGATTATTACAATCTGTTTTGTTACACCAAATATCTATATCAAGTATGTCAAATATATCATCATCAATATAATATATTCCTGTTATACGAACTGATGTATTAAGATTTTCTTCTATACATACACTTTCAAATGGAAATAAACATAAACTAGAATTTAATATTGGCTGATCAAAATAACCATTAATAAAACATGTACCATTACATGCTGATGTTGGACAAGTTACTTCATCGGTTGAATTTGCACATTCTGTACATGTTAAACATGTTGTAAATGGTTCAGTAGGTTCAGCAATTAATGTATTTGTTAAAAGACTTGAATCAATAGTGTATGTAAGACTTCTTGGAAGAAAACTAAGAATACGTGGTGTATTACATAGATTCCAATCACAACCATAAGAAAATTCTAGAATACTAGATAATTCCCAAGTTGAATTGCTTTCCAAAAAGATAATGTCTTCTTTCTCTTGTATATAATGTAGAGATTCTAAAAATATCAAATCCGAGTTAGGATTATGATCAAATTTTAGATGATTTGATAAGCGTGAAATAAAACAATAACTATCTTCAACATATTCTATAACGCATTGTAGTTCACTGTCATCTGTACATGTTGTTTCACCTGGTTTAATAGAACAACTACATTTATAACATTGAAGACAATCGATTTCATTAATTGTTGCCAATAATAATACACTGGCAATGATTGTAAATGAATAAGACATTTCTTGGCTATTTTTAAATAACAAATGAATATAGGACTATAAAGAACAAACTATTTATTGGGACAGTAAAATGAAGAGATAATTATTGCTACACTTTATTAGTTTTTATGTTTATGACAACTACGCTTTTGAGATAAGATATAATTTTTAGAATGGACATTAAAACATTATTGACTTCTGTTTTGTTCTTTATGTTTCAAAAAATGCTATCGATAAAAGTACAATTTTATTTTACAATCATTTCATTAAAATGACGCAGTTCGAGAACCCATAAAATCCTTTTCTTATTCGAACAAAGTTGACTTTTTCTTTTATCAAATTTTATGATGCCTGAAAATATTTCATAGGCTAGTTACTGTACAATTGATCAAACAGTTTATAAAATCTCTGATTCTTCACAAAAGTTACTCGGAAATGTATATTTGCCAATAGACTTAACTGTACTTATTACTCATACCAGTATATTAAATATTTGAAGCTTTTTGATTAACACAACAAAATCTGTACTTCGTGTCGTGCTAATCTAGAGAACAGGAAGTTGTTAGTAATTCGTTCGAAGTTTTCTTGGCAGATCGATGTTTCCAGAAGATTTCAACATTTTTGACTCTTTAATATGAGTTGTCGTTCATTTGCAGAAAATTCCACAAAACAGCGGTTTCGTCATGAGCTAATAGTCTCTAGTCAGCTGCACCACCAGCTATTGTGAGCAGAAGCGACACTATATGGAATCGTTCGTCGTTCTTATGTTACATTAAAGACGATTGTCGAAGTCTGAGATTGCTTTGCATCCCATTTATGTGATAAGTCAGAAAATACTGGTTGAAATGTGTGAATGAAATGTCATGATCGCCTCTGTATCCTTTGTTTTTCAGTCTTCAATAGGACATTTCATTTTCTTAAAAAAAAGCTATCCAAAGAGTTAAATTTTTGTAAGTTTAGCTCATTTTTGAAACTTTGAAATAACTAAAATGATGACAAGCTAATTTTATTCGTTAAAGCTGTATGGACAGCTATTAATAGACAATAAATCACATTGATAATTAAACGATAAATTGGCAGTGTGTTCTTATAACATGTTGATACGCGTTGATAGAGTTCTCATAATAATAACATTTATCATATCTGCGTCGAATTTCTGTTACATTTCAATCAACGGATTAACCAGAACGTGAATAATTCGAGTTTCAATAGCAACAACAGAAAAGGATTCCATGCCAACAATTTTATATATCTCGTTAGAAAATTTATTGATTGGTGTCACAAGTAAAAGCACAACTAAGTATGACCTTTAAACGTCAGACAATATTACATTTCAGACACTGAACGGCGTCGTTTCCGTTTTGTTGAAAAACGTTCCGTAATCTGGTATAATGGTTTACGGCCCTAAAATCGATAAAGAACGGCTCTTTTTATTCACCGCTTACGGCAAGAATAAAGCCGTTTTAGGCCTTATAAGATGCCGTTTTGGGCGATCGAAATGATCGACCTAGGCAAACACATATTGTAAGTGGCTGATTTCTACTAGCTAATCATATTTCTATTATTTGTAGATTTTTTAAAGTCCATTTGCAATAGTAGTAAAGATTTCAACTTCGAAAATCGGAGATTGAATTATTTATAACCAAAATCATTATTTACACGATAAAAATTTTTGTAAAATATATTTTGAACATTGTTTTTGTTTTTGTTGTAGAAGGTGGAACTGTATGCTTCAATAAACATGGTAAACGGTTAGAATAGCTGCTTTTACTTCTTTTTTTTAATACGTTTTCTTCTTATTTTTAGATATTTTTATCACGAACCAAAACATAATGATACACAACTTGCTCATGATAAATCTTGGCTATTATATCAATGGTTTTACGTGATACATCAACAACATTTTTAATCACGCTCTGTACGTAAGTTATACTATATATTTTTAATAAATGCTTATACTTTTTTTCTAGATCCTATGCCATCCTTAAATCAAAGTCACATGGGTAAAATATCATTTTGCAATATTGATTAAATTTCTTCATATCAAATAGATGGTAATTGGCGAAGTCATCGATGGAATAGATCTGTTAAATAAAATCAATGCAAAAGCTTTCTGTTAAATCGCTCTCTATCAGTATACACTTTGTTTTATATTTTAGGAATCAAAAATAAATCTGGTGTTGAATCTATTATTATGAGTAAGCAAGTTGCTAGAGCCATTGGTGGTAAAAATGTCAATGAAATTAGAGCAGCTACTCATGGTATTGAAGTTGCTGATGGTATACCTATTTCTACTGATGATACAATTGATGATGTTTAAGATATTCTTATTAATTCTCATACTGGCGATGTTAGCGGTGCTGGTAATCAAATAGAAGCAACTCGTATTCAAGATATTAATAATGTTGAAGCATTTGATGCTGGTATACCAACTACTGAAGTGATAATCTACAACTGCGATGAAAAACAATATAATACTATACAATGTCTTAATATGTTCAACTGTTCATTATCTGATTATGTGAATGATAATTAAAATTTTCATAATCAAAATTATCTTCATTTAAATCTAAATCAATTATAGGAAAATCTTTCTTTTTTTTTATCAAATTTATTTAACCAATAATTTTTTTATCTAATTCAGCTAAGAAAAAGTTTAAACGGTTGGCAGTAGAAATGTCGAAAGGAAAAATGTCGAAAGAGAAAAATGTCGAAAGGACAAATGTCGAAAAAACGAAGGGGAAAAATGTCGAAAGGAAAAACATCGAAAGGGAAAAATGTCGAACGGGAAAAATATCGAAAAAGATGTACATTAAGAAAATGGTTGATTATTCTTGTTAGAAAATCTTGAAATAGAAGAGATTTTCTTTATTTTTTATGCTAACACTAGCATATGTTAATAGAAATAAATTTATGAATGAAGAAATAAATTTAAAAAAATAATTTTTTTCGTTTTGCAACGATCAATGATAAGCTATCTATGTATTCCATAGCTTTGATAATACCACCATAATATCATTTACGAAAAACATCGATACGACCTTGAGTTGCAATTGTTTTTATTTGCTTAGGTCGTGTTCTTAAACCTGCATAAAATTTAAATACTTAGGTGATGAAAACGATTTTCTTCTCCTTGTACAAACTTTATGAATGACCAAATGTTTGGATGATTAACTTGAACTTGTTCATTAAAGCGACTATGAAATGTTAAATATATAAGAATGAAGTTATGAGAGACTATTAAAAAGTATTTGAGTTCCGTCATTTAAAAATACCGTATTTGTTGGCATATTATTATCACTATAGTTATTTATTTACGTTGTATATAGTTGTTTATTTAATCTCTATCACGTATTAGTCATTTTTACTACTAGTTGTGAAAAACCTCGACTATAGGAATTATAATAAAAGAAAATATGTATTGTTCGAATTTAGAGTTATCATTTATGGGAGACATAGTTGTTTCTTTTATTTTTCATTTTTACATCTATTTATATTAGAATTCATTTTTCGACATTTTTCCCCTTCGATATTTTTTCTTTCGACATTTTTCCCTTTCGATATTTTTCCCTTCGACATTTTTCTCTTTCGACGTTTTTCCCTTTCGACATTTTTCCTTCGACATTTTTACCCTATTTTTTTTTCTTTCGACATTTTTCCTTTCGACATTTCTACTACACACCGTTTAAACTTCCATCGGCAGCTAATAAAATAAATGTTGTTCGTTGATCATATCTTAATGCAACAATATCTTGAATCTTTGTTGTTTTTATTTGCATTTTTATTTCACTTAAACTTACTCTTGATGACGTTATCATTAAAACAACAGGATTATTTCTAATTTGTGTCATATTGTATGTAGATTAAACCAGAATGATGAACTATTTCTGATCATGCACATAATATATGATAGATTGATGTTGACTTATCATTATCATTTGTCGATGTTGTTGGAGTCATTTTTAATATCAATTGAATTTATCATTAATAATTTTCCAATATTTGATTCATCAACAATATAATAAAAATTTTATCCATAAACATAAGACCAAAATAAAAGTTATGTTCTAGTTTGGATGAGAAACTCGATGTTGTGGTACATATAGAGTTCGTCAAGTCAACAATTTTTAAATCCAGTGTATAACTGATTCTCACTTCTAAAATGGTGATCGATAAATTGGTTCCAGGACCTATTCGATTGGTTCTAACTGTCATTGACTCGAAGAAAGTGAAGATGAGATTACTATATACTTTCGAAGTACGAAGAAAAAAAATGATAATATATGAATTTTGCCGTTGTTGATCGAGGAATAGATTCAAAATTTACCGCACTTCATATTTAGTTTTTATGGATATCGTATTCAATTTCTTATCAATATATTCTCCACAAACGTTTTCAATTTTCCAAATCAAGACAATTTTAAACCAATTTTAACTTTTCAATCGCTGAAAACTTTAGATGGCGAAATGTTTTATTGATAGGAGTTTATCAGTTCGCATCTGATCGTCACTCCCAAACACATCCTCAACATTTCTTATGCAATCTTGACAATGCTTTTATAAGAATCAAGTTATAATTAGCTCTTTTTCTAGAGCAACGTCGGTCGAGTGAGGCTTGAATTTGAATGAATATGGCACTGCAAATCTCTATACTTTGACCGAAAATTCAACTTCCCTTTGACCATAGAACGCGTCCTTATCGTTATAACTATGATATTTTCGAAAATGACAAAGCTTTGTTTAGAAGACGCTATAATCTAAGTTGCTGTTAAGTTTCTTTGATAGAATTCATATCTCACCAATTACAAAGTCTTGAATTTTGTTCAATTTAACGAGCAATCTGTATGAAAAAAATTTCACTGATATTGTTTCGATCCATTTATTGAAAAATGTTTTTTCAACATTTATAATAATGACGAATTTCTGCTATATCTATTGAACTGAGTTTTTGTCTTTGACCAATTACTGTATTGCTTTTGACTGGTGTAATTGTTGGTTTACCATTTTTGGAAAAAGCATCTGGTGGATAATGCATCAAACTACCATAATCATATCCAAATCCTTGTGATTCTAACTCGGTTCCCCAAGCATATTTTTTAAAATTATGTTCCTAAAAAAAAATGAGAAATTAATTCTAATAAACAGAATTAATCATTTACAAGATTGGTTAAAATATTTTCTGTATGTACGGTTATAAATGAATCACGATCAGGTCGTGATTGTTCATGGAAAAAGCCTAAAAAGACAATATCAGATAAATTCAAAGCCTTTAAAATTATTCAATCAAACCTTACCAAGAACATGAGTAAGTTCATGTTGAATAATGCCCTCATGAAAACATCCGTTTTGTTGTAAAGTAAGATTTTTTTGGTAATTTGAACCATATCCAATCTATATTAAATAATAAATCTTCAAAGGTTTTAATTTTCTTCAACTTACTGATGCACTACATCCATTACCATATTGAATTTTAAGAACTTCTTTATCACCTGTTTGAGCTGGTCGAAAAAAGACACAAACTTTTCGTGTTGTTTGATCTGGTACAGGTGTTCCAACATCGTACATTAATTTATTCATGGCTTTTGTAATTGTATTCCGATCATTAGCATCTATTATTCAATTATAAAATAAACAACAAAGATTGATTTCTTTTTTTTTTTGGAAATCTACCCGAAATAGCAGACATATCATATGGAATTACGTTGCTAGGCCAACGACGTGGTGTTCCAAGAATAGCAGCTCCACGATATTGATAAAAATCTGGTGGAAGGAACATATCACCTTCAAAACCACCACCTATTGTTAGAAGTGTTAATAAATTGTATTAATAATTATATAGATAGTTCTTTACCAAGAAATTCAGGATTGGCATCTTTCAATAATTTTGAATCATTATTCTCAACCTGATTTATCAAAGAAATAGAATGAATTTTAGGAAAAAAAAAGTCGAATAATTACTGGTAAACCATTGATTGAAAGTCCTAGACATACGATGATAATAGCTGTAAGCATCATGGTTTTTAGACTTATTTAATTTTTTACAATTTATTAGCTATTATATATATATATGTTGTATAGCTTTTCGCGGATTATTATTTAATTACTTTTTTATATTGCGTCGTGACAAGAATTTGTGTTTTTCTCAAATATCACATTACTTTGTTTTTATACAATAACAGTCTTTGTCTAGTAAGTACGAAGCACAACTCAAGGTTTTTATGACATTCTTCTCAGAATTTTTCAGATAGATTCTAAATCATGGCACTCTATCTTTTATTTTCGCCAGCTTATTCTTAAAATAAATCCGTCCGAAACTTAATATTTAAAAATATTTTTTTGTTTTTCGTGCTTTCCTCATTTTTATGGTATTGTATTTTTAATATATATTCAAGAGAGAGACTAAAAATCATAATAACAACGATACGGCAATGCATTGCAATGCAACAACATAAACGAAAACAAAAAAATGGCAGAAGCGTCATTAGCAAAACAAAAGCTGGATAAGCAACGAAAAGAAAAGAAACGATCATTAATTATAAAATAGATAGTTATAGTTCTGTTTTTTTTTTGTGTTTTATATGCATAACAATACATATTGAGTGGAACGTTTGTTAAGAAAACGATAAAGTAAATAAACATCACACACACACACACGTATATATATATAACAAAGAGAAAAAAAACAACAAAGTAGTTAGTGTTCTTCAAGTACAGCGATCAAATACAAAAATAAGAACACAATAAAGAAAAAAAACCAAATGTATTCATGGCAAATAAGAAAACAATAAATGAACTCGTAAAGAGAATGAGAGAAAAAAAAACCGGTTTTTCGTTCTTTTTTTTTTTAAAGAAAAGAAAATTTTATGTTAATCTTCTGAACTGTCATCATCTGATGTTGAACCAATCATTTCAAGTCGAAGTATATCTCGAATATTTATACATGGTAATGAACGACGATGTAAAGCTGTTATTAATGTTGTAGATCGATTATCTGTCTACAGATATAAAAAAACAAAAACAAAACATTTATTTAAAGTTTATATATAAAATTTCTTTTACTTTAGGTAAAAATTTTATTTGTTTTTCATATTCTTCTTTATCTTTATCTGTTATTTCATAAGCCATATCATCATTCCAACCCATACGTATTAATAATCTAAATTTTCAAAAACATATTTCTGAAGAATAGGCAAAAGTTATATTAGACTGCAAATACTTAAACACGTCCTTCTAGAAAATGTCTCGGTCGCAAAAACCAAAAAATCTTTCCGCATTCTCAATTACAATATGTTTGATAGAGTTGAACTTTTTCTTACAAATACTATACAGTGTTTGAGATGTCTACAGTTTTTGGTTTCACTTTATCTTCTTCTATTCAAATACAAGGGTTAAAATACTGAGTATATCTCTAAAACTGCAAGTTTTTTATACTAGAACTTTGTTTTTTTTTGTTTTTGCAAAATCTGCCAAAAATCAATAATGTAAAATATTTCATAACAAAAAAGTTTAGTTCTGCATTTTTTTTTTGTGTAAAAAGTTTTTCTAAACTTATATATGACATTTGACAAAGGACATTTCAAAGCTATATCAGTTACAAAAAAAATCAAAAACCGAAAAAATTTTAATTTTAACATCCAGAAAGGTGGGAAGAATTCAAATTTTTGATCTCTTTACTTCAATGTTTCGTTAAAAATATTGTTTCACAAAATTTTCTAGAATTAGTACTCAACTCTTTTTCTTCTGATGTTTCAGGAACAGATAATAAAAGTAATGTTTCTTTTGTTGATTGAAAATTTTCATTTGAATTTTCTATTAATTTTGATGATTGATTTGAATGATGTTTATTTATATTTTTTTCTTCATTGTTTGAATTATTTTTTAATGAATTTAAAAAATTACTACGTTTATCTAAATTTTTTGTTTGTGTTATACAACTTGTTTGTAATTCATGTATCATTGATCGAGTATTTGTATTTAAATTATTTGGTGTACTTAATAAACGATCACGTCGTGTTATAAGACGATTTGATCCAAATGTACGTGAAAATTTTCCTTGATTTGAAATACGAAATTTTGATGATGCATTATTCCATATAGATGATTGTTCTTTATTATTTGATACTAAATCTCGTCGATTTAAGGATGGCTAAGAAAAATTAAAAAAAAAATAAATTATTGTTATTTGTTTGTGTTTCTATCAAAAATTTATTTACAAAATCTTTTTCAAGTCGATCAAATTGATTTTCATTTGTTTTTATTATTATATCAGAATGATTTTCTCCATATATACGTTCATGATTATCATTAGATAAACGTTCTAAACTATTTTCATTTGTTAAATTATTACGATTATTTGTTTTTGTTATATGACCATTATTATATAATGATGATGATGATATGGAATGTAAACGATGTTGATGATTTGTATTTGAATTTGTTAATGAACGATTATTTGACGAAAATGAATAATCATGTGTATTTAATTCTGAACCCTAAAAAGTAAAAGTAAATGATTGAGAAACTTTTAGTTCGTTAATTTAATAGAAAACTTCTTGAGTTGATTGCTTAAAGGCAATTAATCTCACTTTAATTTCTCAAAAAGCTTTGGTATGTCAATTGAAAATAGTCCGAATTTTTGATGAAAGATAATCAAGTAGGAAACTATCAGAGACGCCAGTCTTGAAGCAATCTAATCTTGGAGAAAGCGACAAATAGTCGCATGTTTGACAGAAGCGTGGTTTCTATTTCACTTCTCATAAACTCCAATTTCCAGAAATATGATTCAATGACATAGAGTACTGTAAAAGGATGAAGTTGGCATGTGAAAAATAATTGATTGAAATGTTACGAAAAAATAAAAACTATATTCATTGTCGAATAGCGAAAACTGTAGTAGATCGAAACTCCAAGTTTAGAAATAAAAAACACACATAACATCAAAATATGAAATCTCTTTTATTATTATTTTAAAATAAAAATTTTGTCAGGATTATCATGGTTGAATATTTTTAATCATTTGATTTCTGCCGACATATAAATACATCTGAATGCAGTTATTGAACAAAAGTGTTCCTACCATATTCTTTGTTTATTTCGAAAAAGTTTTTTCTTTTTATTTGTTTTCACAATGGCTGCTGCATGAAGAAGACGTTTGACTGAGTAAGCAAAACAGCCTTAAAGAAAATGTATGATTTGCATATTCTATAATGCTCGTATTAATACACAATATATGTGTTCTGATTGCAAAGTAACTCGATGTATTTTTGATTACTTTAAAGATTACTACACAAAAAATGTACTACTGATATTTCTTCGATACAGAATTTTGATTTCATTCGAAAAATCATATTCAAACATTTCTCATAAATATTTCAATTTTCGTAAAAGAAAAGCTAAGAGTCAAAGAGTACAACTTTCAACAAAAATACTTACTTTGCCAATTGAATTTGATAAACGTTCTCGACTAAATGAACGTCGAGATTGAAATGAAAAGAAATTCTCTGATTGTTCATCTAAATCAGGTGTTGATTGTTGATCATTAGATTTATTTCGATATTGCCCTAAAATTGTAACAAAAAAAAGTAAAACTAATATTAATATTATTTATCATTAAAAAAAGAGCATCTTTTGAGACCGAACTCTGATTCGGACTAGTCATGTGTGAAATCAAGTTTTCTTTTTTTGTAATCTCACATAGATGTAATCCAACCTTCTAATTTCAGTGAATTATTCTAGTCCGAGTGTGATTGTCACCCTAAATTCCTCTACACATTTCGTATGGTTGATTTTGAACTCGATAGACTCTAAACGCAAGATGAGAATGACTGTTCTTACTATTTATTTTTACATAATAAACAAGAAATTTTCTCTCGAATTATCGTCTAATAAAGAATTCTATTGCTGACCTGTTACATTGATTTCATTTTGTAATTGATGCTTATTGTTATTATTATTTGATCGTTCAATACTCAATTTCTGATTACCATTTGTTTTCTATATAGGAAAGAATTTTTTTTTTTTAATAAATAAATAATAAAATAAAATAAATTAATATACATCTGAATTGGAAATTTTCATCCATGCTGGCATAAAGCCACTTATGGCCATCACATTGCGGCAAAAAACGTAATTTACTTATACCGATGATAATACCAATAGGTAAAGAAAAAAACAAGAAAATAGAATAAGTCTTATTAAATAAACGAGTTCATCGATGAGAATTTGTTCGTCGTTTTTTTTGTTATTATTATTATTATTATTTCGAATAAATAATAAAAACTAAGTTAATTTTAAAAACATTATCATTATCAACAAAATGATTTAAATAAAAGAAGATTTCATAAAAAAGTTAATGAACTACTGGTTGTACATTAAAAATAAATACGATGATAATAATATGAACTCAGAAAATGAGACAATCAATAAAATGAAAACTTTTTTTGTTCTTTTAATTAAAAAAGTTTAACAACAAAAATAGAGTAGAAAAGTTTTTGTATTTGTTAAAAAATTAAAATTTTATTTTATTTTCTTATTTATATTTAATAAAATATAAAAATGATTACTAGCGACACATACCAATAGAGTGTCTGTTACTTAGTGACGAAGAATATTAATGGCAAATTCGTACTTAAAACATTGTCGTTATTTATTTTATGGGACATTTATTGTAACTTTTTTCTAGAATAAAAAAAAAAAAAGAAAACTCAATGGATGATCTACGTTTTCGTTGGTTAAAAGATTCAATTTATACGATATTAAATATTGATGAAGTAGATCCAGCATTTGATGATTTTTTGGAAGGTGATGATGGTGCTAATGAATTATTAATTGCAAAATTTCTTAATGAAGCTGATACAAATGTTGATGATGAAAATGCTTTATTATTTTATAAAGAAGTATTCGAAGAATTACGTGAAGAACAAATTGAAATAAGTAATTAATAACAAAGAAAATTATGAAAAACGAAATCAAAAGCCAAACAAATTGTTTTATTTTCTTTTTTTTTCTTAGCCGAAGAAGAATGGATTGAAGAACAACTTGCTATTAATCCAGATTTTGATCCAAATGAAGAAGGAACTGTTGCAAATAGTGGTACAGATGAACAACAACAATCAGGAGTCAATGATTCGTCAGCTAATCAAACAGCACGTTCAGGTGTACAAAATGGAATGTCAGATAATGTTGAACAAACAGGTGAAGGAATAAATGGTGATGGAGAAAATCAAACACCTGAATCACGACCAAAACAAAAACGATATGTAAATCTTAAATAATTGTTTTCCTATTGAAAATGAAATTTCATCTTTTATTTTTAGCGAAATGAACTTATAAAATATCTTCGTACAATACTTTATTTATGTCGTGATATTTATCCGTCGAATTTAAGTAAAAAAAATTGTGTCTATTTTTTACGTACAACATCAGGAACAATACCTTCACCATTATCAATTGAAGATGCTGATAAAACTATGGTGAAATATCTTGATTATGGTCTATTGAATGGACATACACTTCATTTACTTGCTAATACACTGAATAAAGTAAGATTATTTTTTTAAATACTGTTCTTCAAAGTCGAATATGAAATAATTCAGAAAAACTATAGTAGTTTGAATGAATATCACAATTTGATAGAATTTATTATCTTAGTTTTCAGATGGCGAGATCATTTCAAAAAAAAAATGGACGAATTTCATACTAATAGATGAAAAGTTTTTGGGATCCAGAAATTTGAATCTATAGAAAACTTAGCTATTATTTTGAAATAGATCTCCTCCGATCGAAAAAAAAAATCGAAATGCACTTCAAATTACCGTAGTTTTATCATGCGCTCATTGTTATTCTATACATACATGTGTAGACTAGTGCATTGGTAATCATCGTCACCATTGCATTCCTATGATTAATAGGATTGTATATAAGACGCAAAGAGTCAAACCTGAAACCTCACATCTGTCTTTTCCCCTTTCATCATATTGTTAACTTTTTTCAATGTAAAGCCTTAAGTTCATAGAAAACAGTTCTTTTTCAATCATTTATAAAACACTGTTTGTCTAAGGTTTATAATCCATTGTTAACATATCAAAGTGAACATGAAGATGCTAAAGTTATCGATGGACGCCGCAGTGCATCATCTAAAAAGTCTCAAAAAGACATGGCACCACCGGAATCACCAACTGAAGAAACTGAAGAAGAACAAAAAGATGAAAAAGTTTGTTTAAAATTATTTATTACCTATTCAGATGTCATTGTTTTTTCTTTTTTCTTCAATACTCTTTAGCGTCGTCAACATGAACTTGAATTACGAGCTATGTTACGTGATGAATTTTTAATTCAATTACAAAAATTTCTTAACCAAATTGGTTTAACACTTCGTCAACTAGAAGGTAAAATAAACTAATAATTATTTACAAAAATAAACAAAACAATGTATTTATATATATATATCTTTATTAAAGGCGAAGTACGTCTTGAATTACCACCACAATTTGATATTAGTAAAATTGTTAAAACTAATAAAGATGCCATTGAACAAGCTGAAAGTCTTGTATATAAATGGAATGGAGAAATTCGTGAAGCACTTGAACGTGAATTAAAAAAAGTACAGAAAAAAAAAATCTTGAATAATTATAAACAAAAATTAAAAAAAACAATTTTCTTTGTTTGTTTTTTAGACACCACAAACATCTGGACCATTAGGTGAAATTGATTGGTGGCGTGAACGTAATATTTCTCTAAGTAGTTTATTTGAACAAACAAAACAAGAACATGTTGAACAAGTACTTGAAAAACTTGAATTAGCAGAAAATGCAGCACCATCATCATTTCGTGATACTCGAACAGATTTATCAAAATATTATTTAGAAGCTAAAGATAACGTCAAGTAAGGAATGAATTTTAAATCAAAAGAAAATAAGAACACATTTTTAATACGGATCGAAAGTTTGAAGATCAAATATTTGCTTATGTTTGACTTCCTTGAAAATATTTCCAAGACGTAAAAACCTATAGATTAAGACCAACATATTATACATTTTACAAATATGGTGTGAGCAATTTTATCTTAGGTTTTTTTTTTACTAGAATAGTAAAGGAATTTTTTCAAAGTCCAATCACTGAAAACTTCTAGTTTTGAAGTGAAATTTTTATTTCATTCGAATAAGATTAGAAAAGCATTTAGAAATCATTATTGTTTGATTTTAATAGATTTTTATCGACACTTGAACGTCATTTTAAAAATGTAACACATGGTGCAACATTTCGTGTTGTTACTGAAACAATACCAAAAATGATGAGTGCATTACGTATGGTTTGGATTATATCACGACATTATAATCGTGATGAACGTATGGTACCATTAATGGAACGTATTGCTAATCAATTATGTGAACGTGTTGCACGTAGTATTAATGTTCGAACATTATTTAGGTATTGAAATTGTTATAATTTATGATTATTTAAAATTAAAAAATTACCTTTTGTCATCTTTATTTAGTCATCAACCAAGTGAAATTATTGAAAAATGTACAGAAGCTAAAGATATGTTAGAACGTTGGAAACAAGTAAAAAGAAAAACTTTTTGTTTTTTTTTTTTTGGAAAACTTAATGTATTGTTTTCTTTATTAGTCTTATTATGATGTTCGAGCTGAAATTGAACAATCAGGACGTGATTCTCGATGGGAATTTGATAATAAACGTTTATTTAGATTAACTGATCATATGGCAATTATTTGTAATGATTTTATTGCAATTGCAAAAGAACTTGAACAATTTTATAATATATTTACACCTGAACTTAAATCTGTTACAGGAAAACCACATAAAATAAATGAAATTCTTGAACGTGTACATAAAGTTTTAGAATTAATTGAACATGTAAGTATTTTACTTAATTGGAAAAAACAAACGAAAGAGCTTTATTTTCATTATTCTACCTTTATTTTCAAGGCACCTTGTGATCCATTTCGTCTTGACGATCTTGATAAATGGAAAATGGTATCAGCCAATTATGCACAACAAATTGAAGACATTGATGAACAAACAAAAAGTTTCATTTCCGAATCATTTAAAAGTTTACGGTAAAAACTTTTTTTTCGTAACATATAATTGAAAAATAGTCTGTAGAAATTTGAAAACCGTGGCTTAGAATCAGAACTTCATGGTCTTTCTGAATATAGACTCAAAATTTTTATAAGACTTCTAGTTTAGGAATAATGAGTCGATCTTTCTTGATGGTCGTAAATTAAGTTTGCAGGGACTTCAGCGCATAAAAAATTATCGAAAATAGAAGTAAATGCAAGAGCAAACATATCTTAATAATTAGTATTTTAGTAACGGATACCATAACAATTTAAACAATTATCTTGATTTCTATGGACAATAGGCTTGTACAGTGACCTTCATCATATCTAACTAATGTTATTTTTTTAAATAAATTTATTTAGCATAGACATATTTAAAAATATTGACTCTTTCAGCTGATTATTAATTAAAAAGTAAATAGGAAATGTCTCTAACCATACGAGAAAAAAATCTAAAAATTTCAAAATAGAGCTTTACAGTATGAACTGCTCCTATGGGAAAATTTTTAGCAAGACTAGACTCTAGAACACTTTCTCTTAAAAAACGATTTTTCAACATCCATCCTATCAAGTCTTGAAACAAATATTTTCGTCTTATCATCATTTAGAGATTCTAAAGAAACACTTTTAATGTTTAGACTAAGTTTTGAACTTCTTTTTCAATCATAGGAACAGTTTTGCGTGCTATGTCACTCTACAAACGAAAACGAAATCAGTCTTTTTTTTGAAAAATCTAGACGTTTTCAGCAAAATGTTAGCACATAGATTTTGTAGTTTCAAAAATTGTCTACATTTAGTTTTAGAACATTTTTTTTTCAACTAAAATGTATGAAGTGAAAATCGATGTACTTTTTTTTGTGTCACGTCGTTAACGCTAGCTTTTTACTGATAACTCCTATGAACGAAGGTTTCTAACGCTGATTTTCTCAGAATGCCTACAGTAACTTGACTTATAAAAATTAGTTCGAGCAAAGTTCATTATATCAAGATACGTATGTTTTAATTTACCGAAGTCACGCCGCTACG